TATGTGCACTCCACTTTCCACCCCTGGTCATTAGGATTCTTTCCATCTAATCTTCAGTTGATTATTCAGGATGGTTTTTCTGTATTTTAGTTGTAATTCCAGTTTGGTCCTGGAAGTGTATCAGTGTAGTTTCCACTTACTCTGCCGCCATTTTGGAATCTCCAAATTACTGAAAGGTTATTGCCAGCATGACTGGGACAAGAACCACATTTGTAAATCTCTCCCATCACTCTTAATTTTCCTAGTTCATCCTGTGCTTGTAATTTATGTTTCTGACCCTTAGCAGTGCTTGTCTCAGTGATACTGGTCCAAAATCAGTGTGTCCGCAGCTTCAAGAGGCCAAGCTGTCCAATATCTATTCTTTTTAATTAAAATGTTTTTCTTAAAATAATTTTATGAGTTATGACCAACTCTCTCCTCAGATTACCTAAAAAGTTCAATTTTAATTTATTATGATATCAGTGTGTTTGGGGGGATGTGATAGGAAGTGTTGGCTATATTTTTAATGTAATTGAATTAATTTGTAGCTCATAGATTTCTCCACTGAGAAAAGATTTTTATATAACTGGTGTATCAGATCATCAGTGTTACTCATTAAAACAATTCAATTCATTAACATTTAATAGATTCTACCTTCAAAGGATTCTACTTTCAATATTTCAAAATATGTTCATATATTTCTGAATGGGCCAGGGAAGAGGATTCCTCCTTTTCTTAGAATTCTTTAGATTCACAATCTTCAGAAAGAAACTTTTCACTAGTCATCAACTGAACTTTAAAAATGTATCAGGTTGCTCTCCCTTCCACTGTGTTGCTGCAGATTTGAATAGCTGCCTTTACTTTCTGAAATCTTTTCACAGATATAATGATAGTAGTAATACAGCATTCTTTTAAAGACAAGGTACAAAGATAGAGAGAAAAATCACTGCTCATAAATTAAAGGCAATGGATTTTGCACATTAATCAGTTTAAATATGTAAAAAATGATTTAAGTAGTTCCTATTTCTGCCTCCCTCAAAAACCCAGGTGTTGCCAAGTAATCAATTATTAGTAGTTTCATTTTTCATCCCTCCTCTCAAAAAATCAAAATTTTATTTAATTTTGTGCAAAAACATTTCCAGTGGAAAAAAACAGATGATTCTCTAAGGTTCTTTAATCCACATCCCCATTTACATTTTTTCATCTCATACTGAACCGAGTCCATTTCTTATATTTATGTTGGACTTCTCAGATGGCATGACAGTAGACTCTAGGTGCTCATTAATGCTTTAACGAAAAATTCGGATCATTGTGGCTCTCTACACTTATTAGCAGGCTTTTTCTGTGTTATCATATCTAATTGTTCCTTTTAGAGATGTAGGAAATCAGATTTAGACAGGGCAATTAACATACTGATGATCCTAGCCTTCGTAAGTGGCTAGAACCCTCTGAGTTTTTGTCCTCTTGTCCAAAGTTATTCTGAAACACCAAAGAGTAGCTGTCTGGGGGTATCAGGAGGATGTGTGTGCGGGCATGTGGGCTGGAAAACAGACAAATAGGAAACATAATTGCCTAATGACTCTTCTTGCTAATCCTTTGCTGGTCAAATACAATGTCCTTGTGTCAGATTTTTTGAAAGCAGGCATACATAGAGAAGTGAACAGCACCAAGACTGCTGAGGACAGGAGTTACTTTCTAGCTCCAGAATTTTGCCTATAGAAGATACTTGATAAGTATTTGCCAATGGATGATGTGTTAGATAATCACATCAAAGAGTAGCCCTCTACAATGAGAGGGATTTTTGTCTCTTGTTCACTGCTAAAATCTCCAGTACTTGAAGAGTGCCTTTTATAGGGTAAGTGCTAAAATATTTGTTAAAGAGCTGGAACCTGCATGGAATGTACCAAACAGAGCATCAGCTCCTACAAAGGAAAATTCATAAACACAATTATCAGTAGCCTGAGCAGAGAAACTGAGTTGAAAGTTCCTGAGAAGGGTTTAGCTCAGATATATATATATAGTTAAGCCAAGAATGCTTTGTTTATTGCAGTTCCTGTTACTTTTCCCAGATGCTTTTATATCTTGCTGGAAAGATTCTTCTCCCAGGTGCTTTTATGTCTAGCTCCTTAATGTCATTTAGGTCTCTGCTCAAATGGCACATGCAGAGAGAGAGAGAGAGAGAGAGAGAGAGACTTTCTCTGAGTATCCCTTTAAACTGCCTATGCAAAATTTAAAGTCTATGCAAAAGTAAACAGAATTGTATAAAGAACTTCTATGCACTAAATCACCTAGCTTCAATAATAATTGTTTTACCTAAGTTAAAAAGCATATATCACTATGTAGCATTATATCACATATCTTTTTATATCTTTATTTAGGAGCTAGCCCGTTTCCCACTAGAGTCAAAGATCCATGAGGTCAGGGACTTGTTCTAACTTGTTCACTTTTGTATCCCAGACACTTTGAACAGTATCAGGTACATTGCAAGTGGAAAGAAAACTTGTTGAATGAGTAATGAATGCTTAAGAGAAGATTGAACTAAGTCTAATGGATTCAAAATAATTGTAGAGATTTACAATAATCTTATTTTTGCAATTAGAAGTACTTAGTTTTAATCCCAATTTTATTGCTTAATGTTTTATGTTCTAAATTTGCTCACATGGTGGAAAGTGGTAGAATCAATTTACATATGTTGCTTTTGAGCCACTGATATGTTGAGATTTCTATTAAGAATCCAATATATTGTATCATTAACTTTTAAATATACGTTTGTTTGTTGAGTAAATAAGCTTTAAAATATGAAACAGATGTAATAAGAATTAAGCATATTGTGAGTATATGACCTATCAGTATTTTGTGAATTTTTGCTATGTTGGGAATACTACTTTAAGCATTTAACCTTTGAGTAATTTTTTCTTGAGGTACAATAAGTAGTTTTTAAAATAGGTGGGGTATTTTTTAAAGCATTACTCTTGCATGTTTGTAGGGTTTAAGTATGTACTGAACATGTAGTAGTCAAGAGGGTCTATGTTCTGCTGCAGTAACTAGGTAACCTTGAAAAATCCCTGAAAATGTGGTGAAACCCATTTATTTCTTGCTCATAAAGTGTCTAAAGTGTCTCCTGAGGGTCAAGTCACCTAAGACAGCTTCCTTCAAGGATTTGGTTGGCTTTGTCTTCTAGTTTCGAGAGGGACAGAGGTTTCCTTGCCTCATTCCAGGAATAACGGATATTGCTTCCACTTACAGCCCAGTGGTCAGAATTAGACATAAGGTTCAATATAACTACCAAAAGCCCAGGAAGTGTATAGTCCAGTGAGTACCCAGAAGGAAAGGAAACCAGATCATGGCAATGACTAATAGTATACATGGACTACATGCCATAGACCTCAGAGGTCACAAGACTATCCATTCATTAATTCATTTAGTAAACATTTACTGAACACTTCACTGGTAAGCCCATAGGTGCCTAATCTTAAGTGGTCTCTTAAAATCACTCCTATCAATGAGAAACATGTATATCATAAGACTGACAACATAAATGTACTTTTTAGGACTGTTATCATTTTTTAGCAAAGTTATTTTTTATAATAGAAAAAAAAGATTTAAAATGGCAGTGCCCTATATACATGTTTATTTTTCTTTAACATAAAGATATCAGGAACTAGGTAGCCATAGAGGGTTTGATAATTCTGTAGTCATAAAAGATAAATATTTAGACCATCAAGTCAACATTTTAGACACCAGGAAAAAGGAAAGAAAGGGTGGGTGATAAAGAGTGTAACTTTTACCCCGGCCGGTTTGGCTCAGTGGATAAAGCATCAGCCCATGGACTGGGGGATCTCGGGTTTGATTCTGGTTAAGGCAGTGGTTCTCAACCTTCCTAATGCCATGACCATTTAATACAGTTCCTCATGTTGTGGTGACCCCCAACCATAAAATTATTTTCGTTGCTACTTCATAACTGTAATTTTGCTACTGTTATGAATCATAATGTAAATATCTGATATGCAGGATGTATTTTCATTGTTACAAATTGAACATAATTAAAGCATAGTGATTAATCACAAAAACGATATGTAATTATATATGTTTTCCGATGGTCTTAGGCCACCCCTGTGAAAGGGTCACGACCCACAGGTTGAGAACTGCTGGGTTAAGGGCATGTACCTCTGTTGCAGGCTCGATCCCATCAATTATTCTCTCTGTCTCTACCCCTCCCTTCCACTCTCAAGGGGAAAATACCCTTGGATGAAGATTAACAAAAAAAAGAAGAAAGAGAGAGAGAGGCAACTTTCAACTGAGAGCTTCTTCTAGTTTTTCTAATTTCGCTTACATTTACACCACCTTAACCAGAAGGTAGTCACACAACCAAAATAGATAAGGGAGCCTGGTAAATGTAGTGTTTTTGTCTGGGTACTTTGCTTCCCTGGATGAAATGAATTTTTTGTTACTAGGAAAAAATGGGAGGTTGAATATTGAGTTAACAATAAGTATTTTTGCAGTTAAGATGGATTTACTGTCTCACACACAGTTAAATATTTAATCACAAGTAGAGTAATTAAATATTCCTTCTGAGACTATTCTTCATCTGTTTCTATACTATTAAAACCTAACTGGGGCAACAGGAGGAACTAGATTAGTTTCTTTTCTTTCTTCCTAGTACTTTCCTGTTCACATAGTAAATGTTTTCAGTAACTACTTCTGCTACTGACTTTGCCATTAAAGAGAACACTATTTATTGAATATAGACACCATAAAGCAGTTAGTATTTTAATTTAGTCAAATATAGTAATATAATAGTATCAGAGCATTAACTTGTTAGCTATCTATCATGGTCCAATGTATATTTTTTATATGATTAATTAATATTTCCCTCAAAAAAGGCATGCTTAGAAACAGATGTACTGTTAATATCGACAGTTCATAAACAACATTTCTTGTTTGTAGGCTTGTCACTATGAGAAACAATAAAGTAACTTATCTTATTTTCATCTTTTCCGCCTTTGTCTTCCTCTCCATAGGCTATATATTGATGGTCCATTTGGAAGTCCATTTGAGGAATCATTGAACTATGAGGTTAGCCTCTGCGTGGCTGGAGGCATTGGAGTAACTCCATTTGCGTCAATACTCAACACCTTGCTGTATGTCACTTTGATCTATTTTATTCATCCATATAAAGAACTGTCAATATTTTAGACATCTCTCTTTTATATGAAGTGTCTCCTTATAGATTTCTTGTACTTGCTATTGAAGGAACTTCATTTACTGATTGATGAAGGGAATAATTCAGTGATTCTCAATATATGGTCTTTGGCTTTCAGCATGATGTTTTGTGAAATATGTCAGTACTGCAGCTCTGCACTCTTCTGTCTTTATCCTTATTAGAGTTACTCCACCAGCCTTAATTTCTCTACTGTCTCATCAGTGTTAAGTGGACTATGTATCTGTCTGTCAACGATATTTTTGAGCACCTATGTGCCAATTTATCTTATAGGTAAGTACAGGTAATACATTAGTGAATGAAACTGAGCCCCTTCCCTTAAAAAGCTTAGTTCAAAAGGGGGAGATAAAAATAAACCAGTGAGAAATTCATAAATAACATTACTTAAGAAAATATTAGAACTACGATAAGAAGAGGTATTCGTGGGATATAGAAATAAGGGCTAAAGCTATCGTGAATATGATTAGGGAGAGCTTTTCTGAGATGACAGAATGAGCCTATCATTCCTTGATCTATTACTTGGCAAATTTAAACAAACAGAAGAATCCTAGCCAGTTTGGCTCAATGGATAGAGCATCAACTCAAGGACTGAAGGGTGCTGGGTTTGATTCCAGTCAAGGACGTGTACCTCGGTCGCAGGCTTGATCCCCGACCCTAGTCGGGGCATGTGCGGGAAGCAACCAATTGATGTGTCTCTCTGAAGTCCATGTTTCTCTTTCTCTGTCTTTCCCCCTTCCTTCCACTATCTCTAAAAAATCAATGGGAAAATATCCTTGGATGAGGATTAACAAAAATAAATAAATAAAACAGAAGACTAGAAATTTCAGAGGTAAGACTGCTTAACCAGGAAAGACTTTTATAGTTATTTCTGTCCTAGGATTATAAGAAAAAATTAATTTATTAATTCTCATGAAAACACAAACAAAATGACAGTAGGAAATTATTCTCAATTCTATTACATACATTCACTTACAAGACATAATTTGCATTAAAAATCTGTTTTATGGAGTACCAAAAAAGAACCAGTAAGTTGAAATGATGTGTTTAATGCTATTTTACTTCAGTTTTAAATTCTTGATATATATTTGTGCCTTTTTGGAGGTTCTTAGAAAAATAACCATATTGCATGCCAGAAATCATTTGTTTCTGAAAACATATTGCAAGTTACTTGGACACCTAAAGTTAAGAAAAGAAAAGAATATTTTCTTAACCTCAAGCCTACTTCCTAATTATAAGTAGGAATCCAGACTTGGAGTCATGAGTTACTGGAATGCATTACATAGTAGGCAGTTATGAAATCTCCTTCTTTAATGATATTAAGAAGGGGATAAACAACCAATTTCTGGAATGGTTTTGGTTCCCTTTGCCTGGAAGCCAGGGCAAGAATGATGAGGACTAGACTGGAGCCCCTGCTGTGTGATAGAATTCAAAGAAAATAGGGAACTTTTTTTCCCTGAGATGTAGGGCTGAAAGTATTCTGATCCAGGAGTTTAGTTTATTACCTTCAATTGGAAATGAGTGATATGCATATAATATTCACAAGTATGGACACTGAATTTATGGAGCATATCCTGTCTTTGACTCAGAATATTCATTTTACATTCCTTTGGGAGTTACAGTAAGTGCTGTGTCTGATGCTTGAATGTAAATGGCTGTTTTTCTGTTGGTTACTTACTAGTGAAAATAAAAATTTCAAAGCTGCAGGGATTCTTAACTTTTTGCCATCCTAATCATTATCGTGTTATTTTTATCTTAAAGGGATGACTGGAAACCCTACAAGCTTAGGAGACTGTATTTTATTTGGGTGTGCAGAGATATCCAGTCCTTCCGTTGGTTTGCAGACTTACTCTGTGTGTTGCATAATAAGGTAAAATTAGGTTTGTTTCCGATTTTGCAGTGTTTAAATTTAAAAACATAGTTATTATGTTTCAAATTGCTAAAGTACTAAATGATTGCTACAGAAAAAATAAAAATGCAAATAAGTAGTAAGAAGGAAAAATCCTTTAAATTAAAACACAACACAGAGATAACATTTGTTACTTGGTACACATCTTTCTAGATACTGATATCTATGATTATGTGTATGTATCTAGGACATGTTTTAACCTAGAAATGATGATTGATGCGTTCTAACATGGAATATTTTAACACAGAAATTCATGCACTATTAATGTGGGCATCTATATGTGTATGATGTATGCAAATGCATGCATATGGGGTGGTGAGGGAAGGCAAATAGAGGGATACATAGCAGGCTATTGCTAGTACATTTCCCATCTTTTGTTCTAATAGCTCTTAACTTTTATCTTCACCTTTGCTATTCTAAATGGACCATCACCAGACTTTTGGCACATTATGCAGAATTTCCAAAATCCCAAATTCTAAGTTTTAGTTCTTATAAGTATGAAAGCAGACATTCATCTTTCCTACATGTGACCTATTATTTATCTATTAATATATCTATATTTTTTTCAAGCTGTACAAGTAATACACATTTTTTTTGCATCTTTGGTGCAATTTTTCCAAATAATTCAGATAAAGCAAAATCTTCCCTAACTACTTTCCCCCACCCAATCTATGTAACAAGAGGGAAGTCCCGCGTGTTCTATAAATTCTAGCATAATTTGTATTGCTCTGGAAGTTGCTTTCTTAAACTTATGACTGTTCTCTTGAACATTTTTAATAATAGTACATATAGATTTACCTCATTCTTTTTACTGCTATATAGTATTTCATAGTATGAATGTGTCTAATTTATTTAACCATTCCCTCCGGATGGGTATTTATAATTTTATTATAAAGAGTATCGCGATGAATAGCAGACATGCCATTTTGTGCAGATATCCACCCATTCAATCAGTCATTCTGTCACTCATCAAATATTTATTAACTGCCTACTATGAAGTAGAAACTATTCTGGGACATGGAGCTACGTCAGAGATCAAAATAAAAACAAGTGTCTGATCTCATGTGATTTACATTCTAAGTGGGGAGGAAAGGTAGCAAACCAATAAAGAAATGGGGTGTCTGATTCGGATCAGGGCAAAGAAGAAAAAGAAAGTGGGGTAAAGCAACAAAGAGTAAATGATAGAGGGCATATTAATATATATTGAATATTTGGAAATGCCCACCAACATTGGTATTTTAGCAGAGACCTGAGTAAAGTGAATGAACAGGCAGTTCTCTTGGGCAAAAAATTTTAGGGCAGAGGGACCCAACTTCACAGGCAAGCACTCTGATGCAATAGTATTAGACTGGAGCAAGATGAAAGCAGTGACTTGAACAGATATTTGTATACCAATGGTCATAGCAGCATTTTTTACAATAGCCAAAAGATGGAAACAACCCAAATGTCTATTGATGAATGAATGAAGAAAACTCTGCATATACATAAAATGGAATATTATTCAGCCTGAAAAAGAATAGAATTCTGAGACATTTTACAATATGTATGAACCTTGAAAGCATTATACTAATTTAATTAATCTAGACACAAAAGGACAAATATTATCTGATTCTACTTATATGAGATACCTAGAGTAGTCAATTTCCTAGAATGCTGGTCACCAGGGCATAAGAGGGAGGGCAAATGGGGATTTATTGGTTAATGGATAGAGTTTTAGTTTGAGAAGAAAAGTTCTGGAGATGGATGGTAATGATGGTTGCTCATCAATATGAATGTATTTAATACCACTGAACTGTACACTTAAAAATGGTTACAATGGTAAGTTTATAATATGTTTTACCACAACTTAAAAAAAAAGAACACATGTCTGGGACACACTAGAGACCTGCTGAATGAGAGATGAGTAGCCATTGCAAGGTTATGAACGAGACTGATCTGACTGCTGATCATCTTGGGAATGTGTGTGAAAGTAGCAATCGCTGGGATACTGCAGTTTCCGGAGAAGCGAAAGGTGTGTAATGGCTAACAAAGGAGACCGGTCCCAGCGGTCAGTGAGGTGGTCGCAAGAGAGAAAGGGAGTTCTGTCTTTGATGCTAAGGAAGGAAAAATTGTCTAGAGGAGCAAACTTACCACTTTCCAATTTGTGAGTATTTTTTCTAGGTTGATGCAGAGACAGGATTTTCTGGAGTTGGAGGCTGTGCATGAATTAAAATTTATTTTTAAGTTATATTGGAAAAAATCCCCCAGAAGACACTAAAACAATTTACATTTGGATGATGTTAAAAAGAAAAGGTTTTTATTTTCTGTTTGCAAAGTAACAATTTTGTGTGTGTGTGTGTGTGTGTGTGTGTGTGTGTGTGTGTGTGAGAGAGAGAGAGAGAGAGAGAGAGAGAGAGAGAGAGAGATCAAAAGCAATAGTGCATAGGGACTTTACATACAGTCTCAGTGAGAGTAGGTAAAAGTATTCTTGAAAACAAAACGAAAATATACAGTCTTCTGGCACCATATATATTTATTACAATATCATTGACTACATACCCTACGCTGCACTTTATATCCCCATGACTATTTTGTAATTACCAATTTGTACTTCATTTAAAAAATATGTTTTTCTTGATTTCAGAGAGGAAGGAAGAGGGAAAGAAAGATAGAAACATTAATGATGAGAGAAAATCAATGATTGGCTGCCTCTTGCACATCCCCTACTGGGAATCAAGCCTATAACCCAGGCATGTGCCCTAATTGGAAATCAAACCATGACCTTCTGGTTCATGGGTCGATGCTCAACCACTGAGCAACACTGGCCAGGCTAATTTGTACTTCTTAATCCCTTCAATTTTTTTCACCAACTCCCTCCCCTCTAGCAACCATCAGTTTCTTCTCTGTACCTATCCATCTGTTTAGTTTTGTTTGTCCATTTATTTGGTTCTTTAGATTCTACATATAAGTGAAATCAAATGGTATTTGTCTTTCTCTGACTTATTTCACTTAGTATAATATCCTCTAGGACTGTATATGTTGTCAAAAATGGTAAGCTTTCATTCTTTTTATGGCTGAGTAATATTCCATTGCCTATAGTATATACCACATTTTCTTTACCCAGTTCTCTATTGATGAGCACTTAGGTTGTTTCTATATCTTGGCTATTGTAAATAATGCTAACATGAACATGGGGATGCATATATCATTTTTAAATTAGTATCTAGCCACCTGAAACTAACATAAAATAATATTGAATACCAACTATAATTTAAAAATAAAAAATAGTATTTTATTCTAGCCCACACTTTCTGAGTTGAATTTTTAATCCAAATACTTTTTAGATATATTGGATGGTATGCTATATTTTGCTTATGCCATTAATTACTAAATATAATAGCAATCTCAATTTTTAAAGTTTTTATTCTCACTTATTTGAAAGGGTATTTTTAAATACATTTTTATTGATTTCAGAGAGGAAAGAAGAGGGACAGGGAGATAGCAACATCAGTGATGAAAGAGAATCATTGATCGGCTACCTCTTGCACACCCCACGCTAGGGATCAAGCCCACCACCCAGGCATATGCCCTGACCAGGAATCCAACCATCACCTCCTGGTTCATAGGTTGATGCTCAACCACTGAGCAACACTGACTGGGGTGCAAGGGTATTTTTAACTTGAAAATTAAATTAGATATTTTAACCTAAAAATAATAATATCAATCTTCCAACTGTGAGTTCTCATGCATCATTCTAGAATGCCTAGAACATAATCATCTAGCTGCCCTCGCTGCTCAGTCTTAGTGTCAGACTCTCTGAAATGATTACAAGAGCTGCGCCTTAGGTGGCTCTTTTGCTTGACTGGATTGTCCAACCTGGTGAGTTTAGAAATGAGTGCAGGGCTAGATGTCAGGTGATCTGATACCAAGTCTGCCAATAACTACATGCCTCGCTTCACATCACTTCACTTCTATAGATCACATTGGAGAAATAAAAAAGGAAGCAGGGCTACATCAGGCATTTGGAGTTCCATTTAAAATGGGACAGTGGTCCTAGCCTATTTTGCTCAGTGGTTACAGCCAGCCTGGGAACTGAAGGATCTTGGGTTCCATTCTGGTCAAGGGCACATATGTAGGTTGCAGGCTGAATCCCAGCTGCCTGTGTTGGGGCATGTGCAGGAGACAACCAGTCAATGTCACATCGATGTCTCTCTCTGTCTCTCTCTGTCTCTCTCTCTCTCTCTCTCTTTCTCTTCTCTTCTCTTCTCTTCTCTTCTCTTCTCTTCTCTTCTCTTCTCTTCTCTCTCTCTCTCTCTTCTCTTCTCTCTCTCTCTCTCTCTTTCTCTTCTCTTCTCTTCCTCTCTCTCTCTCTCTCTCTCTCTCTCTCTCTCTCCCTTTCATTCTCTCTCTTTAAAAAAAATCAGTGAAAAAAATATCTTCAGGTGAGGATTAACAACAAAAAAGATAAAATAAAATGGGACACTGGCTCTACTTCATACTGACTCTGAGACCTTGGGTAAATCACTTGACTTTTATAAACCCCATTGATGCCTTCAATGTATAAATTAGGATAACAGCACTTGAAGTCTGATGTGAGATTTAGCTTATTCAAAGAATCTATTGGATGTATTTAATAAATGATGGCTATCATTCCTATTAGTGATCTATAAAATTCCTTTCAGGAGTTACATACTGCTATTTTTTTTATTTGTGAGGAAAATAAGGAATAGTGACAGGCAGGAGAAGTAAAAATGAAAAGCATAATCTTTGTGCATGATATTATAATCCTAATTCATTTACAAGATTGTGTCCATCCATGTATTTGTTATTTTTACTGCTCTCTGGACTTGAAGAAAATTGTTGCTTTAGTATGTATTATTATGTATCTTCTGTGAGGGAGAAGTTAAAATGGAGACACTGAAATCGTTAAGGTCATTATTCAGATCTTCATAGTTCTTTCTGGGGGCTGTGGGCAACAAACACCAGTTTTTGAGATAGAAGTCTTTGAGCACCATCCTGGTAGGCATCTACACTAATAAAAGACAACCATGCAAATTGACCGTACCTTCGCTATGCTTTAAGCCACGCCCACCAGCCAATCAGAGCAACTATATGCAAATTAACCCAACCAAGATGGCGGCCAGCAGCCACAGAGCTGGAGTGAACAGGAGGCTTGCTTGCTCCAGTAATGGAGGAAGCCAAGCTTCCCCACCTGCCGCGGCCAGCTCTGAGCTCCACTGAAAGCAACAAAGTTTCAATTAGAGAAGGTAAACAAACCCCAGATACCTGCTTTCAGCCAGCTGTGGCCATCGAGCTGGAGTGAGCAGGAGTGGGTTGCCCCTGGAGATGGAGGAAGCCAAGCTTTCTGCAGGCCTCTGCTAAAGGCAATAAAGTTTCAATTATAGAAGGTAAATAAATCCCAGAATAAAAAAGAAGAAGAAGAAGAAAAGGAGAGGCTGGGAGCTTCTGTTGTCAGGGTGCTTGGCCAGCCTGAAAATGGCCCTCAGCCCCTCACTCACACTGGCCAGGCACCCCAGTGGGGACCCCCCACCCTAAAGGGGGTGTGGCCAGCCTGAAAAAAGCCATCAGCCCCTCACCCAGGCTGGCCAAACCTCCATCGGGTGAGGGTCCCCACTGGGGTGGACATTCTCCGAGGGGTCCCACACTGCAAGAGGGCGTAGGCTGGGCTGAGGGACCCCCCGAGTGCACAATTTTTTGTGTACCAGGCCTCTAGTTTAAGATAAGAATAAGCACAAAACATGTATTTTGTGAGATGCTACCCATTACTGGACTTGGAAAATCCTCAGTTTCTTCTCAGTTAAAATCCGTGAATCCTGATTCAGTTCAGAAAGGGCCTTAAAATGAATTTAGCATTTGGATATAACTTGAGGCAGCTATTGGATGGGATATTACTAGAGATTATATTTCAAAAGTATTATGGTGGTCTAGTTTCATTTTTTTTGCATGTATCTGTTCAACTTTCCCAACACCATTTATTGAGAGGCTGTCTTGACTCCATTGTATGTTTTTGCCTCCTTTGTCAAATATTAGGAGGCAGCCAATCAATGATTCTCTATCATCATAAATGTTTCTATCTCTCTCTCTCCCTCTCCTTTCCACTCTGAAATCAATAAAAATATATTTATAAATAAGTAAATAAACAAGTAAATAAATAAATAAATGCAAAGGCAAACAAAGTATTATGGGTGTTGATAAGCCATCTCATCACTTTTAAGGTAAAATATGTTTTTATTAGGATTTTATAATTCATCTGTGCCATCTGTGAAATAATGTCCTTCAACCATATAATTGTCCTGATGACGAAGCTAAAGCCTAGAAAAGTTAAGTAACTTTCTAGAAAGCTCTGGGCCAGGTAGTCATGGCAATAGAAGTCTCTCAGTTACTTCTTGCATGCCCTTAAGATTGTAAAGGGTGCCAGAGGGGTGATGAAGCCCTACTTAATCACTCCCTATCAGCAAAATGACTTATTTTGCATTCCTAGAACATCTACTTTGAGTCCCAGTATATAAGTTTGTTTTAAATCATTACTTTCACACTACACAAGAGATGGGCAAAAGTGGGTCTACAGTTGTGAGTATGTAAAACACAAGTTAATGAAGCTATTGTAATAATGAAAACCTTCATGTCTTTTTCCATAGGGACAACTATAAACCTACTTTTGCCCACCCCTGTATATGTATGCAGTTTTATATGTATTTGCTTGTAGATATTGACTGTGATTAGACAAGATACATTTTAACAAATTCTAGAATCCCATGTGTTAGAATAGGAGGAAGTCTGAGTCTACAGAAATAATTTTAATGTCTACTTACTTTTATGTCCTCTCAGCTTTGGCAAGAGAACAGACCTGACTATGTCAACATCCAGCTGTACCTCAGTCAAACAGATGGGATGCAGGTATGTGGCTGGATGTTACTGTAAATGAAACGAGTCTCTCGGTAATAGGAGGTTTACTGCAGGGCTGTTCAGGGAGAACATTTCTGCAGGTGGTTTGAAGAAGTTTCCCACAGGAAGGCCTCTTGGAATGTGTCCAGAAAACTCATGGCTTGTCCTTAAAGTTAAACATATAGGGCGTCCCCCAAAATGTATGTACACACTTTGAATAATTATAAAGGCAGCATTTATTAAAATACATTACATTTTCAAAAGTGAGCTACCAGCTGTTAAAATATGTATACTTTTTTTGGGGGGGTACCCTATGTTTTGCTATTTTTATTTTGTTTGTTTTGGGGGAGATTTATTTTGTCCATCTCACAGGGAGATAGAGCAGACCTTAGGAGTATTTCATCTCTCTCCTCTTCACTATTGCCTCAAGTTCTTTACCTATAGAGGCCAGACCATAACTGAACAGCCTTGTGATTATATGCATGAAGAGGAGTTTTTATGGGGGAAAAAAAATAAGGTCATACACAAAAAAGTTTTATTTCCCTTCAAGGGAAACTAAAAAGAATAGCAGTAGCTATCACATTATTTATTCACTATGTGAGACACTGTGCTAAGCAATCATGTACACAATTATGGAATTCCAGCAGACTCAAGAGGTAGGAGATATTGCTATCCCATATTATAGATGAAGAAATTGGTGTTTACATACACCATGAAGGGCTGCACAGTTGTGTAAATCTGGGCATGACTGCTTTCACACGCTTTATTTTAGTATTTTCTATCATACATTTTCTGTAGTATTTTGAATACAAATTATGAATGCTTGTCAGTTACTTCAAAACTAATTTCACCCTACTTTTTCTAGTCAGAGTTCTTCCCTACTTGGTATGTAAAAATATTTTATTTTACTGCTCTCGTGAAGCAAGTCGGTATCATTGTCTTCATGGTATTGCTCTAATGAAGGTATAGAGTATACATCGCATTTGGTTCTCAGTTTGTCTGCCTGGGACTCAGACACTTGTTCCTCTCTTCTCACTTCACTCTGATTCTTCAGCTCTCATATTCTGTTCATTGCAAAAAACAGTTTATTTGAGTTATTTGTTAATAGACCCGAGATTTGGAGCTCTTCTGTCTTAGGTTGTCTTGTCTAAGATCATTTCCCCAAATTTATGATTACAGTTTGTAGTATTTTACCCATCTAATGTGCCGAATATGACAACTGTATTTGTAGTGCAAAAACAATTCAATAAAATTTATGTGCTGAGGCCCTTTTTGAAAGTAGGCAATTAGAATGCATTCTTCAACATTGTAGTTGTTTAAAAATGAAGCAAATCAGCCATTTGTAATGATGGCATTCAGGAAGAGAACGGATTTTAAAGGAAAACAGGAAGGAAATGATGTTCTAACTTACTGTACTTCATAACTGGCATGGTTGCCATTTGCCACTTATATTCTTTAGATCACAGCAATTTGGTAGGAAGCCACAGCACCAGCAGAAATGAGGTTAGAGAAATGGGCAGTTTGCCAACTCTGTGTCATATTAAATGTAATGCTTTCTTTGTGGCAGAAAATAATTGGAGAAAAATACCATGCGCTGAATTCAAGACTTTATATTGGACGTCCTCAGTGGAAACTACTATTTGATGAAATAGCAAAATGTAACAGAGGGTAAGTGCTATTCCTCAGCAAATTTGACATGTGGTTAATGATCCAATTAAAATATTCCCAAGTCATTACAGGGAGTTTTTAAGATGACTTAGTAATGGGTTTACAAATTAGAAAGCCACTTAAACACTCACTTATCACTATCAAAAGAGGAAGCAAGGCAGGGAACACCTCACGAAAGTGTCATGCCAAATAATTAAAATTTGGCTTAGAAATAGTCTATAAATTATTTATGAACTAGACTCTTCCACCTACTTTTAAATGTACATAGGTCCATATTAAAATGAGTGTTCGTTCCCACAGCATATATCAGGTGATCATGGGAAAAGTGCTTCAAAATCATGTTGGCAAACAAGGGAGCTCTACAAATATTCTAACAATGCATGCACTTAAAAGTCAGTTTTTTGTACCTTTTTATCAGAATGAATACATTATTTGAAGCTTAGTTGTTATTTGCAGTCTCTAAGTCAGGAATATTTTTAAACAAAATTATTTTTCTTGGGAGCTATAACTGTAAAGAATCTTAGCATTATGGACTATCTATGATCGGTAGAGATTACTATTGAAGGAAAGAATTCACTTTAGGGCATAGAGTAGACAACCCATTTGTCTTCTAATCTAAAAGAATTTTGGAAACTATATACCCATTCACACATTTTAAAGTTGCCATTGAAATAGTTTCATCATAAGGTTAAGTAGTTGCTAAGCCTGTAATTTCTAACATATTGCAGATGTTGGCATTTTATATTAATGTAACTGTTTTAAACATGTATCTACTGGAATCTAAATATCATAGTTTCTGGATACCAACCTCATATATTATAAATACACAAACAAGCTTTCATTAGCAGTTGGAAATTAAACACAATTTTGTTTTCTACTTGAACTTGTGTTTCTATCCTGATAAAGCTGCAAAATTTTATCAAAATTCAATATATTTTTATATTTTAACTAATTTTGTTTGTTGCTAACTAAACATTTTCTGCAACAATAATGTGCATAAATTGATTGTTTAATTTTTAAAATTTCCTATGACCCTAAGGATCTAGTGTTAATTATATTTTCTGGATTTAGTTATCATTATAATTATTAGTGTGTAGTTGATTAATTCATAATTTTAAATATATGTTTTATAAATAGAAAAAGGATATTTGATTACAAATGAATGAGACAGCTTATGAGATGAAGATTTTGGGGGGAAGGAAATGTTTTTTTAGTGATTTCAGAGAGAGGAACAGAGATGGAGAGAGAGAGAGAGAAACATCAATGATGAGAGTGAATTATTGATCAGCTGCCTACTGCACGACCCCCACTGGGGATCAATCCCACAACCAGGATATGTGCCCTGACTGGGAATTGAACTGTGACCTCCTGTTTCTTAGGTCAACACTCAATCACTGAGCCACACTGGCCAGGTGGAGAAACTTAATAAAATCCCAATTCATGAGGTATTGAAAAAAATCAGATTCATCATGGCATTTGGCTCCATTTTCAGAGGTTTTGTTTTAGCAATTATGGTGTGGAGCCCCAAAAGCAAAATTTAAAAAGGAATCTATACTCATATACTTAAGATTTTTGCCATGTTTGAAACCAGCCATGTTCTGTATTCCCTTCCCCTGAAGAAGTAGTTTGGGGTTGAAGAAGGAAGCATTATTTAGAAAGCAGAGATCCTTTGTAATATGGAAGGCCCCAGTTAAAGGTGAACCCTGTTTTGGTTATAGTCCTTTTCATCTTTCCCCAATATCATCCACCTATGTGTGATCATCTTGTCAGACTGACCTGGGTCTTGCTATGCGCCACCGATGACTCATTCCTCTTTGATGACATTTAACTGACCTCTGAGAAGCATTCTTTTATTAGTTTTCATAGTATACTGTTGAAAACATTGATTTTTTTGTTTTTTGCTTCATTTTGAAACCAAACCCCAAAACAATAGAGGATCATTTACAGGGAATTAGACTTGGATTATTGGTTTCTTTCGTTATTTCTTAAGAATTTGTATTTGTTATGCTGTTCATGATTTAGAGGGATTTTGTGTGTTTATTTGGTTTTTCATTGTCTTTAAACAGCAAGCTGATTCAAGTTGGTTTATGATGAGCAAATGTGCACCACCTACTGTTCACATTCAGCACAACTTTCACTTTTCTGCATTTCCTCTGGGCAGGCAACTGAAATCCATTAAAAATAAATAAATAAAATAAAATAAAAATATTTTTTTAATGATTTTTTTTAAAGAGAGAGGAAGGGAGGAGGAGAGAGAGAATGTGAGAGAACAGCACCTATCAGCTGCCTCCAGCATGCTGCCCACAGGGGATCAAGCTTATAACCTAGGCATGTGCAATGATTGGAATTGAACCAGCAACCTTCCAGTGCACAGGATGACACTAACTGAGCCACACCGGCCAGGGCAACACATTATAGTAAGGGATTTTTATGTAGCATAGTTTGGAAAAGAATGAATCAATATCTTAAGGGTTCATTAACTAGAAAAAGGTACTATTTAAATAGAAGGATTCATTTTAGAAGTGTAATTTTGGTTAACCTGGTGTACATAAATTGCATAAACAATATATAGAGATAGGAAAGAAGAAAGATATAAATTAAATAAGTTTAATACTATATGATGGGCTATAATTTAATGTTCAGAATATTAAACAATTGGTATTAATATAATAAACTATATAGAATACAAATTTAAATTGGATTAAGCAATTCTTGGCATACACACACACACACATACACTTAGATATATACACACGTATGAAAGTATGTATTTACATATAAGTACATATACATATATAAATACATATACAATATATAAGTGCATGAGTATATGTACATATATATGAATGCATATACATTTAAATATATATATTGAAAATATAAAAGTCAATTTGAACAACAATTGAATGAATCTATAATATATAATTCTTCAGCTTAGTCTTTTTCAGATACACCATATATTGTTCATGAAATGTTTATAGCATTATACCTTCACAGTATTTTAGAATATGGATGATATCACCATTACTATCCTGTATAGATATTTAGGTTGCCTCCTGTCTTTTAATGTGACAGTAATTATCTTTGCATATACAGCACATACATTCTCATACCCATGTGAGAGTATTCCAATAGGTTAGGATCCTAAAAATGGAATTACTGGATCAAAGGGTGTGCACATTTCAATACTGTCCTACCAAAATGCAAAAGCTGAATCAATTTATACTTAATTTACTTTGCACTTGTGTATGAGAGTGGTTCCTTCCTTGCATGACTTTTTAAATTTAGAAAATGAATATGACAGTATTATATGGTTAAGGAAGGTGAAGGAGCTTCTGAAGTCACCTTGCCTTCATCATTATTTTACAAATGAAGAGACTAGGATCCATAAAAGATAATGATTAGTTTAAAGCTATGGTTAATGAGTCAGAATTCAGACATGAACATTTCATAGGCTGCCTTTTCATTGTGCTGATCATTTCTTCTGTTGTATAATAGTTTTTTAATTTGAGGTAGTCCTACTTGTTTATTTTTGCTTCTGTTGTTTGTATTTTTGGTGTCACATCCATGAAATCATTGATTAGACCAATTTCAAGGAGCTATTTTTGTAGGTTTTCTGTGATTTTGATGGTTTCATGTCTTACATTTAAGTCTTGAAATCTTTTTGAGTTAACTTTGTGAGTGTATAAGATAGGGGTCCAGTTTCATTATTTTGCATGTAAATTTTCTGTTTTCCCAGCACCATTTATTGAAGAGATCATCTTTTCCCCTTTGAGTATTTTGACTCCCTTTGATTGGGTTTAAATCTAGCAATTTACTAGTGCTTCCTTTTATTTGATTTGTTCTTTCTTTTCTATTTTTTTTCTTTCCATTGTGTACTTCCTCTTGGACTGAGTATTTTTTATGTTTCTGTGTGTTGTTTTTTTCCCCCTCTAGTGGCATATTACCCATACCTGTTTGTTTGCCTTGAGTTATTTCTCTAAGGCATTGTTTTCCAAACTGCATTCCTTGGATCCATTCTCCCCTGGGAATTGTTAGAAAAGAAAATTCTTGAGCCCTATTCAAGATCTGCTGAATCTACAGCTCTAATGATGGGCTCAGCTATCTGTGGTCTGTGAAGTTTCTCAGGTGATTCTGATAAAGCTGAAGTTGGAGAAACATTGTTTTCAGTTTACAGTGTACATCATTAACTCATCACAGTGTAACTCATCACAGTATACTTCAGATAATGTTACACCACCGCATGTACTTCCAGCATCCCTGCATCTTTTTGGCTTTTGTTCTTATTCATGTTAGTTCTAAATTTGCTTTAAACTTCAAAATGTGTTGCTATTGCTTTTGTTTTAAACATCAATCATATTTTAAAGAGATAAAAATTGGACAAAATAGCCGAAACCGGTTTGGCTCAGTGGATAGAGCGTCGGCCTGTGGACTGAGGGGTCCCAGGTTCGATTCCGGTCAAGGGCATGTACCTGGGTTGCGGGCACATCCCCAGTGGGAGATGTGCAGGAGGCGGCTGATCGATGTTTCTCTCCCATCGATGTTTCTAACTCTCTATCTCTCTCTCCCTTCCGCTCTGTAAAAAATCAATAAAATATATTTAAAAAAAAGAAGTAAAAAAAAATTGGACAAAATATACATTCTATTTATTCACCATTCACCTTTTTGATCCTCTTAATTTGGGGAGAGCGTGTAGTAGATTCAAATTTCCCTCTGATTTTATTCTCCATTCTGAAGAGTTCCCTTCAATATATTTTATAGTGCTGGTTGGCTGGCAATGAATTATCTCACCTTTTGTTTGAAAGTTTGTTTTCCATCTTCACCTTAGGAAGTTATTTTTGTTTGCTATCAAATTTGCTTGGTATAGACTCGTCTGGCAGTAGCAGTGTGGTAGCTGGGTGGCTGACGCCACAGTGGCAGCGGTGGAGGTCATCTCAGCATAACAGTTTGAGGAGCTGCTGTACCTCAGACCCATGTCCCCCTGTGGTCCATTTTTGGGCACCATGGGCTCCACAGTGTGATCAGATGAATAGTGTGATGGCAGCTTAGCTAAAGAACACCTACAAGTATCATTTTTGAAGTTGGAAGCTCTACCTGAATTATCTAAAAAATATAAAATTATTTCTGTTTTTTTAAGAATTCTGAAAAAAATTACTGATTAGATGGTGCACATGCACCAGAATTGGCCAAAAATGTTCGACAACATGCGCCCGTTATCCAATAGGTGACATTTTCTTTTCTCTTTCAGCACTTTGAAGATAGCACTTCATTGCCTTCTGATTTGCATAGTTTGTGAAAAGAAGTTCATCTTTCATCTTTTGCTAATTATTTATAATATGTCTTTTCCCCCCCTCTAGCTGTTTTTATATTTTCCTCTTTGTCACTGGCTTTCATAGTTTTACTATAAGTTGCCTTATGTGGTTTTCTTTTTGTGTAATCTCCTTGGGGGTTCATTAAATTCTTATTCTTGAGTCAATGTGTTTGCTTTCGTTTAATTTGGGGAAAATGTTATCAGTTACTCCTTAAATGTTTTTTTTCTTTTTTTCTTTTTCCTTCTGTCATGGTTGGGGCCACAGTTACATATAGTTTAGTCGAGTTGATATTATCCCATAGGTCACTGAAGCTTTGTTTTTTTGTTTGTTGTCATCATTTTTTTAATATTTCTTTCTCTGTATGTTTCCATGTTGATAGATTCTAGTGCTGTCTTCATGCTTACATATGTTTTCTTCTTCAGTGCCTAGTCTTCTGTTAACCCATAGTATATGTATCATTTTAAATATTGCTTTTAATCATTGCAATTTCCATGTAGGTCTTTAAAAAACCTTCTATTTCTCTTCTCATCTTGTTGATTTTTGTCTTTATACATATGAAGCATGATTCCCATCATTGTTTCGATGACCATGTCTGATAATTCCATCATTTCTACCATTCTGGGCCTTTTTCTATTGACCCACCTTTCTCCTTGTATTAGTTTGCTAGGGTTTCCATAACAATATCCTGAAGACTAAATGGATTGAATAGTAGAAATTTATCTTCTCACAGTTCTGGGGGCTGGGAGTCTAAGATCGAAATGCCAGCAGGGTTGATTTCCTATGAGACCTCCCTCCTTGGCTTATAGGTGACCACCCTCTTATTGCCTCTTTACATAGACATTTTTCTATGCATGTGCCCCTCTCGTGTCTCTTTGTATATCCATATTTTCCCTTCTTATAAAGACACTAGTCAGGTTGGGTGGGGTCCACTCTAACAGCCTCGTTTTAACTTAGTCACATGTATAAAGGTCCTATCTCCAAATATAGCTACATTCTAAGTTACTGTGGGTTAGAGATGCAACATATGAATTGAGATGGGGCACAAATCAGCCCCTAACACTCCTAGTTATAGTTCATAATTTCTTGCTCTTCACATTCCTTGTAATTTTTGATTGAATGCTGTACACTATGAAGTTCAAATGTCAAATGCCAAATTTTGATTTATTCTTTTATCTATTGCTGGATTTGTGTTTGGCAGAATGTTTTGTTACTTGGGTTAAGTTTTTCAAGGATTGCTTTTGAGCTGTGTTAGTATAGGTCAAGAGCAGCCTGCAATCTAAGGCTGATTTTACCAATATCCACTCTACCTTTTTAACAAATAAAGTGGTACCTTTCTAGAACACTACCCATTGCCCATGCTTTGTATATAGATCTTTCCATTCTGGCTTATGGGAATATGAGTTATTCTCAAGCTTGTGTAAATTCTGGATTGCGCTTGACATACTGCTTCCTGAGAGTTCTTTCCTGAGATTCATGTGATTTTTTTTCTCAGACATGAGCAAATCAGTATTGAACCCAACACTTAAAAGATAATCCTCTATAGATCTCCAGAGCTTCTTTCTGTAGATATCTCTTCCCTTCCATGTTCTTCTCTACATTCTAGCTAATTTGGCCTGCACAAATGTTGTTGTTTGTCTCCTGAACTCAGAGACCACTAATCAGTGCTGCAGCCAGTAGCTTGCCTCCAGGCAATAAGCAGAGACAGTCATTGGATTCCATTGCTTTTTTCTCTTTCTAGGGGTTCACTGTTCTTTTCTACCTATTGTCCAGTTTCTGCAAATACTTTTTTCATATATCTTTTTTTCCCTAGGTTTTTAATCCCGTAGGGTAAATCTAATCCCCATTATTCAATCATAACTGCAAGGGAAAGTTTAATTTTCATAGTTCTTCGATTTATTTTTCAAGATGAAAACTTTTAATAAAATCATTTTTCAGTATTTGTTATAAATTTTTATACCCATTTAAATGAACTCACTGTTTTTTTTCAGCACCAATTATTTTCAGACAGTGAGGACATACTGTATTTGTCTAAGATATATGAATTGTTAATCATGTCCTAGGAAGAATTCCAGCAAGTCAACAAATATGGAAGAAGATTATTGTGAAATATTTATCATTTTCTGGGATTTATTTAGACTATTTGTTAGGGATGTGTATAATTTATCTACTAAAATTTTATGTTAGCAAATAATAAAAGCTGCTTGGCATTTGTTATAATTATTGCAGTGCATAAATGAAAAAGAAAATGTATCCAGATTAATATTTTTTTTATTTCAATGTGGATATAAATTAGTCACTTAAAATTATCCTTTCAAATCGGTAATGCCTTTTCTTTCTCTTCTCAAATTCATCACTGCCCGTGCAAATTCATGGAACCTTTAGGAAAAAAATATATAAAACAACTATAAAAAACATTGACATGATCTAGTGTGGAAGAACATTCATCAACTATTGCTGTTGGTATAGTTTCTGTCCTCACCAGTGGCATGTAATGAAAAGGCTAAGGCAGACTGCTCACTCTCTAATAATAAGCAAATATGTGCTCATAGTTACATTCTTTGAATTTAACCTGAATTCTAGTATGGAAAGCATGAGGTAAATAAAATATCTTCCGGGTGATCATCTACATTTGGAAATAACTAAAAAAAAATTGTTTTTAGTAGGCCTAGCAGCAGGAAATTAACTTTGTTAATACCGTGCACATGCTCATAAAGCATACTTCTTGTTATGTTCTGCCAAATTTTCCACCCGATTTTCCATTTTCTCCCTCTTCCTTCCCAGGAAAACAGTCGGTGTGTTTTGCTGTGGACCCCGATCAATTTCTAAGACTCTTCGTAAACTGAGTAACCGAAACAACTCGTATGGGACAAGATTTGAATACAATAAAGAATCCTTCAGCTGAAAACCTGGAATTTAAAGAAGGAATGAGTGCAATTGCTAACACTTAGAAATTCAAACAGCTATCCTCTGCCAAAGAGTAGCAAGGCTTTCTTATTTATGATTATTTAAAATGGAAATGCAGAGAATGAGGCAAGATGACAGGTCACAGTACACCAAAGAGGCTCTGAAGAATATCTGATGTGATGATTCACTTTTCAAGTGAGTTAAAACTATCAGATGCCCACTGTTGATTTTTATGACCGATTCAAGAGCTCCCTAGTGAGGAGCTACACTTTCTCACTGTGCGGCTGATAGCCTTGGTCCTCTTTAAATTGTTTTTGGTTGAACAAATGGAAGATTGAACAAAATTTAAAAATTCATTGAAACTCAGATTACATTTTTCACCTAAGAATAACAGAGTGGCTTTGATTTAGAAAAGCTCCATGCAAATATATTAGATGTTTGAAGATTTAGCATAAGACTATTGATACGGGTACTTTGTGTCAATATCTAATTTTCCTCACTACTGAGCTAATAACTCTACTTGATGTCTTTAGACTGTATGCTGAATGAATCTTTTACAGATGTTGTATCTATTTTTATATCTCCCCCCTCTGTCTAGGGAAATCTTCCCTCCCTTGGCAGGCATTAGGCATAATTATTTAATCAGTCATATTATCCTCAATTTATTTAATCACTGTTGCATAGTAATGAGGAAATATTATTACTATAAGTTATAAAGGGATATAGATCTAATAAGTTTTTTTTCCCTTTTCAGCATTGTGATCTCTATTATTTTTATTTACTTTTCCCCCAGCATAGTTTGTCTTAGTTTTCAATCTCTTTTTAAAAGTACATTTTTATTGATTTTTAGAGAAAGAGGGATAGAGAGATAGAAACATTGATGAGAGAGGAACATCATCATTGATTGGCTGCCTCCTGCATGCCCCCTACTGGGGATGGAGCCTGCAACCTGGGCGTGTGTCCTAACCTGGAATTAAACTGGCGACCTCTTGGTTCCTGGGCTGAGCCACACCCACCAGGCTTCAGCCTCTTAAGGTACTTTGTTTATTTGCACTTTGAGACCAAAGGGCATCATGTCTGTCAGTGGTCATTGAGATAGATACAAGATCTCTCTTTTGGCATACATTGGTTATGTTGAAGATATTGAAAGTGTAGTCACATCCCTAATAGGAAATCTGGATTTTACTTCCTACACAAGATAAAATATTTCATTAGTTACTCAAATTCAAGTTCAGAATCAAGCAATATTATTGCTGCACCACCTAGTATTCTGGGTCTCAATAGGGAATTATTGAGTTCTAAGTCACTGTTAGGCTTACTCTGTGTGATCCTATCAGTTCATGTTCCCTGGCCATTATACTGGCTCACAGGAAGAGTCACTTCACTACCTTAAGAATTAAGGCATTTTTACAGTTCAGTGATTTTGTTTTGTCGTCCTTTATCAGTTGCTATCAAATATAGCACATTGCTGAAATCAGCAGCATAACTTCTCTTGCCTTCATTAAAATTTTGCATAATATAAGTTGATAGATGCTACTGTCATTTTTTTTTTTTGCTCTGATTCACCAATAACAAACAAGCATGTTAAACCATCCAGCACTGAATTCCCATAAACACATTACTTACAGATGTTTCTTCCTCTCTTTGGAATTCTTTCTTCTCCCTTCTGTGGAAGGTGAGTCAGAAAAAGACATGGGAAATGTGCAATGTTCCTGCAGATTTAGCTCTGAAGACATAGTTAATAAACAGTGCATCTTGGCAACACTTTCTAAGTTAAAAATAATTTTCATAAAAACACATAACAGAAAGAACCAGTAAAAAGAAATTTAGTACAGGCTTGATGTGCAATACTGACTCTTTACTGAACATATTTATTGAAGTGATTAATTAATACACCTAATTTCACTAAAACAGGTGGAAGATTTTTCAAAAGAAGAAGTAATCTTTTGGAGTGAGTAGGTCTGTTATTCTAGATGAGCCTTTTTGCCTATTTTAAATTACAGGTGATGTTCAAATGTTGTGTTAACGTAGGTAATTTTTGCTTCTATAGACAGGAATGCCTGTAGAAGAGTTATTTATGTTTTGTTTTGAGGGAGCCTTTCTCTCTAGCTCATTATTGTCACACAGGTCTTAAAACAGTAAGTTTAGTGGCATTAAATGTTAAAATTGAAATGGTATCCTCAAAATCTCTATAAATTTACTTTATCTTCCCAACAAATAAAGGAGGCAGAGTTTCTTCACCAGATAATGCAAGTTTTAGAAACATCATTTATTTCAGTGCAAATCAGCATGAACAGTCATAGGGATTTATGTTCTGGGACTTGCAATTTCACTGGCTAATGGTGTGACTATGGCAAATCGCTTCTCACTCTGGGACTTCTCATTTGGACTAGATCAGTAGTCAATTAATCTTTTTTAGATAATGTATCTTTTTGAGGCCTTGAGTGAAAAGAAATATTCTGACATACATACAAAATATACAGACAATCATGGGGGCCCACAGTCTCCAAAAGCCAGGACCCCTGTTTAAAAACCTCTGAACAAAATTATCATCATTATAGGTATTTTAAAACTCTACCTATGTTTTCTTTGATTTCTTTTTTTGGAAGTAACTATCAATTTGTATGGACTATACTAAGAAATTAACTCTGGACAGAGAATCCAATATAATTTTTTAAAATATGTTTTTATTGATTTCAGAGAGAAAGGGAGAGAAAGAGATAGAAACATCAATGCTGAGAGAGAATCATCGATTGGCTCCCTCCTGCATAACCGCCCCCGCCTCCCCCCCCCCCCCCCCCACACACACACACACACTGGGGATGAGCTCCCAGCCCACCCTGACCATGGAATTGAACTGTGACTCCTGGTTCCTGGGTCTATGCTCAACCACTGAGTAGCATCTTTGGGCTCTTCCATTGTTATTTAATCTTCTTGGGTCTCTTGCTTTATGCAAGGTAAGGCTTTGATTTTACATATGAATAATAATAATAAAATAAAAATAAATTCATACACACACACACACATAAATTTGGGCCTTAGTTTTTTTTTTATTTTTTTATTTTTAAATTTCAGGTTAAATGTGAAGTGATAGTTTTTTCATACCATGACTTTAAATGCTAGTTGGGTGACTGATTGTACAAGCTCTTAAAACAAAGAAATAAAAGCAATGTAGACAAAGCATAGTCTGAATTGATTTACTCCATATTCCCATGTTATTTATAATCCCCTCCCCCCGCCCCGAAAAAAAAAAAACAAAACACAAAACAAAACACTAGTGTTTATTTGGAGCATTCAAAGCAAGTAATTGATTTAAAAATAAGGCATTGTTAAAGCGGCTGGCTAGACACAAATGGGCCACCGTTGTCATCAATAGGTGATGCTGATGCTAAAGGATGTTCATTATATTGAAAAGGAAAAAAAGCAGGTAAACTTTATTTTCCTTAAGGGTGATTAACTCAGCTGAACAGTGATTTTTCTAACAAGCCAATAACACACATTTTCAGTGGCTACTCATGGCACAGTTCCCTTTTCTTATGCTATCTAGAACACTTGCATATCCAGTTATATTATAGAAACATAAATGCTGAAGTTAGGAGGACTGTTATTTTGTAGTTGATGAAACTAAGGCCCAAAGGAAGATGGTAACTTGCTTCAAGTCATCCACTGAGTTTGTCACAGAGTCACCTGGAGCTCAGCTTTCTTAATCTCTGCTACTGAAAGGCTCTTTTCCCTGCCCCATGAAATACACATCTGCTAAGACACCAGTAGTACTGTTAGTTTGAATCTCCCTGTAAACTCTAGTGCTAGCTGGAAAATAGGTAGTGAATGTTAATTCCAGATTCATAGCAGAAAATCACACTCTTCTTCCCAAGATATCTTCTAAATTCATTAGTCATGTATTTTGCCTACTAAAATCTATTTTCCTATATTAGTTTTAAAACAGGACAATTGTGCTAAAAAGATTTTATTCTTCAGGACTCTGTATTGGAAATTTGTAATAGTATATAGTTTCTAGGAAATGTTAATATTGCCATTTTTAAATTTAGGTTCATAGACAAAAGTCATAACTTCACCAACTTTCTAACCCCCTAGGGAACTGTTGTTATTAAAACAGATGACTATTATTCTCTACTCACAGGACCATATCATGCTTCTTATTCAGGAGAAAAGAACCATCTTTTTGTAAACTAGTGAGACAGGAAATAAATGATACCTGCGTTTGAGATCTGCGTTTACTTCAACCACCCCGGACAGTGAGAATTCACTGATTCCTTCTGTCTACATCTCCCCTCCATTACCCCAGCAGCTTTATTCCATTCTATGGTATTCTCAGAAGACAGAGTTCCAAGGCTTTCTAGATGAAGTTTTCCAAAGAAGAGACGCAGTAGAATTTTGATACTTAGCAAAGGGTCCATTAAGAGAGAACAGGAAAAAGGCCACGTGAATGAGTTGAAATTATCAGAGTTAAATAATGTTGCTTTAGAATAGAGACCAGTAATTTTTTTAATGTGAACATACACATTTTTGTTTTTCCTTATACAAAACTTTAATTTTTGTTTATAGAATCTAAACATAGATTTCTATGTTTATTTCACATTATAGCAAAATCACTCCTAATCTTAATGCAGAGAGTTAAAATACAACTTAAGAGCTGGTAAAGATAAGAAATGCCTCATAGGGGCAAAACTAGGAAGGAAAAGGGCACTCAAAGACAGAGAAATTATTTTAATACATCAGAACATGATAATGCTTTTCTTTTCATAATTTAATAGATGCTCAAATGTGTGACAAGACTGGCTATTCCTGGGGTTTGGGGAAATGTAAAACAACATGGCCCTTGGTTTGTTTTTAGAGAGCCTTTCCCGTTTTCTTTGCCACTAGAATTACAGGAGAAGCTTTCATCAGAATTACAATCTTCTTTGAGAAGTTGAGCCTTGATGAGCTGCTGGTTGACCTAGAGGCAACCCGACCTTCCGATGAGAAGCAGCACTACAAAACCGCTCTAATATATGTGGCAATAAAGGAGCGGAGGCTGCCGTGCATCCATCCGCTGCACGCGCCACCCATGAACACTGTCACGGCAAGGTCAGATTTTTTTCAGCTCTTCTCCGTCCACCCAGGGGATGAAACCTTCTTAATAGTGCAGACACTGAGAAACAGATATTCTCTCTGTTGTATCATAACAGGGTGTCTGTTCATCTGTATCAGCACATTCATGGGAACCTCGTTATCGATTTAGGATGACTGTATATTTTATTGTAGTGGTGAGAGATCTCTACAATGCATCAAATGAGTGCCGGGCTTGCCTGCTAAAAAATATATGGCAGCCAACACATTGGCCAGGGAGACAGCAGTTAAATCTTCCAGGCTTTCGTCTCCAGCTGAGCCCTAAAGGAATGTAAAATACCTTGCCGCGCATATATATATATATTGGAATGTGACCTGGGTTGCACTCCCTGCTCTGTGTTTTGACATGATGCATGGCTAATTCTCCAGAGTCTCGGGGACTCTCCGGTTCAGGAAAAGACCAGCTGTTGAGTCAGCGTAGCATCTGTAACCACATACCTGGGTGCCCACCAGATGTAATTACGTTTATTAAAGGTGACCGTTATCTGCTTACCAAATGGCCAGAGCGGGAAAGTGTCTTTATTTTCTTCTCTATTGCATAAAATTAGGTTAAAATTCAGAGTTGGGAGAAGTAAAAATCACTTTGAAATGTGGGAATGGTTGGTGGCAGGTTACCAGTGTCATCATTTTATCCAGCTGCCTCCAGTGTGTGGCGTGAACAGGATCCCGGGTTAGAGATCAGACTTGCAACCTTCACCCCTGCAAAGCATTAGACCATGTGCATAAAAAGGCGAGTGCCATCAAGCTCTGCCTAACTTACGTGGAGGTGGTAGGGCAAGCATGTGGAGGAGAGGAGGAAAGGAGTGATGAAGAAAGAAAAGTTTCCCAGGTAAAATAAATCTTAAGTGGGTTTTTGAAAACACCGTAAAAGTAAAATTTATGTAAAAGTAAAAACGCAGGTGTTTATGAGTCACAGTCCATTGTAACTGATTGAGTTAGTAGTTAATTGTTTTCTGGGCAAATAGAGAAGCGCCCACAAACAAATCAGTACCACTGATCTGTTCTGAGGTTCTGATAAACAAAGTTGACTGTTCCGTCTAGTGTAACTGCCTTCTGAATCCCTCTTACACTGGTTTTGGTCAGGCCCAATGTGGCTAGAGATAGCTGTATTGATCTATGAGAACTGAGCTAGGAATTACTGGAAGGCAATATAACCTACCGCCCTTATTTAAAGTTTCATGGAGTAAAAAGCAGCTGTTTATGAGATAGCCTACTGAGTTAAGACTAAGGCCTATATTGTAGAACTAGAAATAATTATAGAAAAGACAAAAGCACTGCATGGAAGCTATTTTTTTCCTAGATGGAAAAAAAAGAAATTCATATTTTTCTTACTGTTTCCAAAGATACTTTACATTATGTATTTTCATCCAAGCTCACATTATTTTGTAGATATTTAT